AGTCGGCTATGCCTCCTGGAATGCCATCCAGAAGACTGCAAGGCACTAACCTCAAAGTACAAGCCCTACAACAAGGCCAGCTGCCGATGCTCTCACCTGTGCTACTGAGGCCCTAATACGCTTCATAAAGTATGACTTTCTTGCCTTCTTCACCGGAATATGAGCTCCCTGAATACTACAACCACTGGTTTCACCAGTGGGGAGGCTCCCTTATCACCCCAAAATGTAGTATGTCTAAGGAGGCACATCATTTGACTTGTTAATGAAGACAAATAGGCAAACTTACCTGTATTTTTAAAAGTGAGTCTGCATACAGTAGCTTAATTTTCGATAAATTATTAAAGACAAATGGAAAATGACTGAATATGACAGGATAATGGAGGTCTCCTGAAGTGCCCTAAAAATGGAAATGACAAGAATTCTGATAATGAAAGGAAAAAGAAATCTTATGCCTTACCTTACAGCCTTACATCCCTGATGATTTAAGGTCTTAGTACTTACAGCCAAAGCAAAGTTGCTGATAATATTTATTTATAAGAATTCTAAGAAAATGTTTATGTCTCAGTGAAAGGTATATAAACCTAGGATTTTCAGTGCTCATGTAATTTACCAATTAATTATAAACTCTGAACACATCCCCAAAGAGTCTGTTCTCCAACCTGCACTTCTGAAATATGAATAGTTCAGATGCAAGTGTTAGGTAGGGAAATGATACATTGTGGCCAGCTGGTTAGCACATATATGACCTTTGCCAAGGAAGGGTTGATGCACTAAGCAGAATTATAACGTTCAGAGGAAAGGAAAAGAACCTCAGGTGAGCTGCAGAACTGGCAGAAAGGAGCCTTTAGTTCTAAGACAAGAAAAGGAGTACTAGCACCCAGGGCACCCTCCCCAGAGTTGCAGCCCTGCACTGCTGGCTCCTGGTGAGTCATGCTTCCCTCATCACCTACTGTAAGAGCAGAGCTCTGTTTCCGCCTATGTTATCTCACTACTACCAGTCCTCTGGTAGGGTGTGGACAGCTTTCTTCCCTTTTGTTTTTCTGCACTCTTCATATTCTTACAGCCTCCAGATGAGCTATTTGACCGGGCAATCCAAATGACCTTCCCAGGTAGCAACCATTTTCTGTTAGTGGTCTCGTTACAAAACTGCAAAGGTTTTGAGGGGTCTGTCTTGCTTTTCCCATAAGGCTGTTATTGCTATTGGAAAACTGTGCAGACTGCAAGGGTTTTTGGAAACTCAGAAAGTTTTAGCACAAATGCCTACAAAAAGTCACTGATCATCAATTTCACCCTTTAAATATTATGCCATACTTACTGAGCTCATTTTCCAAGAGGATCTTCTATACGCTTCTCCATAAAAATCAAGCCAGTGCATGAGTTCATTTATTTTGAAAATATTTTCAGGCAGTTGACATTTAGCCTGGTTTATCTTAAATAAAAAATATATACAATTTTCTCAGAGGGCATAAAAACAATTTTGTTAACTTGCTATGAATGAGATTACCAGAAGAACAAATTAAACTCCCTTTCTAATGACCACGATAAAGTTCTATTTAGTTCCACTACTGCCTAAGCCCCAAATTTTCAGGAACATAAAGAATACCTAAGATTTAATAGCAGAAATTGATGATAAACTTCTAGTTACTTATAACTTATAAGTAAGTTTTTAAAGAACTTTAAGTCCAAAGTAAACTACTACGAATGCAAAGCACTGAGGCTCAATACTTCAGGTCATGTTCTTCAGAGCTTAACAGTTAACACATGTTCCCTCTGAGCAAGGCACATGCAGAGCACCCCCCACCACACAGGGGGAGTGTTCCAGCCTCCCGCTCAGTGAGAGGACCAGGGTGACTATGACAGGCACATGAACACCCAGCACAATGCTAATCATCAGTCACTGAGGACAATGATAGTGACTGCGATGCTATGGACGTGAATGACCACCAGTACTGGACCTGGATGGGCACACTTCTGGTCTAATTGACTCATCTCAGGAGGTCTTCTAAAAGGCCCTCTTGGCTGTGTTAAGTTAAAACCACTCATCTGGAATAGTCTGACTGACTCTGGACCAGACCCCAAATGACCCAGGCATCCCAGCACTAGCAGCCCGAGTATGCTGAAGCTGTTTCAGCCCTGTGACTATGGTCCTCTGGACCTGCTGATCTCAGCCTTGAATTGTCAATAGTCTCAACATCCCCAGAATCATAGACAAAGTGGGTACTTCATCCTCAGGCCTTGTGGTCCCCCTTCTGAGGTGGGAGGAACACGTGGAGGCTTGACAAATATTCTGATGTCACCAGTTAAGAGTCAAAGGACAAAGCAGGAATCCTTGAGGATTTCTTTGACTACAACTTCAGAATTTCTCAGGATTCTCTTTGTAAGTGGCAAAAGTTTATTAGAATATACTTTCTCTGAGCTGTTCAGTAAATTTTTCAAAACCCGAGTTATTTTTATTTCTCTTTTGTACAAAAAACCTTTGCAAGTAACTAAGGATAGCAATATGACAGATGTTTTTTAAAGCAGTGTAACACATTAGGCACCTTGATTCACTGAAACAACAAGAAAACACAGGATAAACTGTAGACAAGTATTTTTTAATGCAATACTGATCTTGTAAGTAGATATGGAATAATCAGGTTTAAAAACAAAGTTAAGATGGCATTTGCTTTGAGAATATTTGTCAAACCTAGTGAAAGTGAACATTAGTTTTCAACGATTTGGGCTTTAGGGAGAGATGACAAAGCCCAGACTCTGTTCAAAGCAGAAAGCTAACAGCAGAGACTTGTCTTACAAATCTGTGACCCAAAAGTGCTACACCATCAGAGTGAAAGTAAACTAGAAATGAACAAGCTCTTTCCTCCACTTCTGTACCAACCTGCCCCACCCTGACTCCCCAAGACAATGAGACTAACTGCAGCTGGTTAAAATGGTACTGAGTAGGGAAAAACACGAATCCCACAGAATTTGTAATTACGAAAGTGCTTGCCTTAAAGTTTCCCCACCAAATTTTTACCACCTGGAAATTAAAAGCCACAAGCAAAGAATTTAATTTATAGTCTCAAACTGGTGCTGTCTCAAGACAAATTCATCCTGGAGAAACCCAGCCCTTGAAAAATTTCAACAGATAAAGTTTCAAGGCAAATGGGCATTGCACACACACGCACACATGCACACACACA